TGTAATAATGAGGATTTAATGATAAAAACTGCTCAACTCTGAATCAATAGCGATGCCTTCAAATTCCAAGAACAAGGATACAAGAGTAGCTCCCTATTAAGTACCGGGAACAATAATTTACAAGGTTAAAAAGGGGAGAGAAAAAAAAAAAAAGGTGCATATCTAAGAACAGTTCTTTGAAAGTCTTGTAGTTACAAGTGTGAGGGATGATGAGCCAGTATTTTTAGACTGCTTCTAACAGATCCCAAAAATGGAGGAAACCATAAAACAGTATCCTCTTAGCAAGCTTTTAATACTGCCTGAGCCTATCCCAAACTCTGAAAAAAGGTAAGCATCTGGCAGCACACTGAATTGCGTGCCACCATTTCAGCCATCATACTAGGGACTAAATCCTTCCCTGGAAGTAACAGAGTAACAAACATGCAAACTCCAGAGAGAAGCGGGGGGAAAGATCCTCCTGACAAATGCTTAGCTACATCTTAATGTGGTTTAAAGCTTGATGAAGCTTTCCACCCGTTTGGAATACAAAAATACAAGTATTTGGCATGGAAACAGCCCTAACAAAAGGGTAGGGGAGCCTGAGAGGGTGTTTTTTCAAGTCCCAAATGAGCATTTTGGGGGTCCAACAGCCTGACAGGAAAAAGATTAGAAAAATGGCCACCCAGCACTGAACTATGCACAAAATGCAGAGTTTCGGCGCTTCCAGTTCTGCATTGCACCCTGCGCTCCCAGCCCCCCGCATTCCCACAGGCTCCCAAAGGCCCCCGGCTGCCCCACGCCGCTGTCCACTGCCGGGGAGCGAGGAGGCTACGGCCCCTCGGCGCTATCTGCAGCCACCCCCGGGGCTCCATTACTACTACTTTTCATTTTCCTGCTAGTATCACTTTTCTAATGAATCGCTGTTACTACAGAAATGTAAATGTCACCAGCTGAGTAGTTCGGGGTTTTTTTAAACATCCGAAAAGGTAGGGAAAAGGGGGAGGGGAGGTGGGGAACACCTCATCAATATCCACTATTAAACATTTTTAACGCTAAAGCAGCACCGACCCCGCCGCCCGCAAAACCTGGCGGCTTCACCACGACTGGCCCCAAGCCCCAAAAAGGGGTTTCAGCGCCTCATCAGCACCGACCGGGCTTAGCAGCGGATGCTCCCCCGGCCGCGCTCCGGCTTGCGCAGCGCGGCCCCTCCGCGCCCCCGCAGCCCGCCCCCGCCGCGCACCGCGCGCAACTTTGCGGGCGCCGCCGCGTCCCAGCGCCCGGGCTGATCTTCCGCGGGAGATGCTGCGCTCCGCGGAGGGCAGAAAGGCGAGAAGGGCGGCTGAGGGACAGGGTCCGGCAGGAGCCGTAGCCCGCCTGCGGCACTCCCGCACCGCACCGCCGGGCGCCGCGCATCCCGCGCCGCACCGCGGGCAGCAAGCCCGCCCCGCCACCGGAGCGGGGGAAAACCCTGCCCGGGGACCCACGGCAAGGACGAGTGGGGGCACGGGACTGCCAAAAGGAGAAAGGCGGAGAGGGGAATGGAAACAGGCGAAGAGACGCCCCCGCGCCACAGCCCCGCGCCCCAGCCCTGCCTGCCCGCTCAGCGGCGCGGAGCGATGCGCAGCGGCAGCGCGCCCCGCGGGGCAGCGCACGCCCCTCGGCCCTCCCCGCTGACCTCGAGCCAAGGACAGCTCGGCGGTCCCGCTGCGCATCGCGACCCGCGGGCCCCGCTGAGCGGAGCCAGGCCAGGGCGGCAGCAAGGGCGGCCGCGGAAGCGAGGGGAGCGGGGGCTCTCACCTGAGCCTGTCCCGGGAGGTGCTCTCCGCCGCCGCTGCGCGAGGGACGCGGCTCCTGCCTCTCGCCACGAAGAAGGCTGGTCCCGACAGCCCCGGCCCGGCGAAGTTACGCGCCGTCGCGGAGCCGGGCTCCCACCTGCAGCGCCCGTCAGACTCCGGCAGCCGGCACGGCTCGGCTCGGCACCGCACGGCTCGGCCCGCCCCCCTCCTCCCCATTGGAGCCGCCGCCGCCCCGCCTCCGCCCGCCCGCCCGGAGCGCCCGCGGGGGCGGCGGTGGCAGCGCGCTGCGGGACCCTCCCGCCCGCGGAGCTTGCGGCCGGGACAGGTGAGGAGTGCGAGGCACCAGCTCCTCTTGCCACCCCACCACGGTCCCTCGTTTGGCTTGGTTCTTTGTTGTTTTTTTTTTTTTTTTTTTTTTCTGTGGGAAGAAGGAAAGTACTAAAAGCGGGTCCGTGAGGTTACTTCATGCCGGTGTTTCGTGCTGTTTGGCTTACGCGGAGCTCCTTGCCGCAGCAGGCGCTGAGAGGCTTTGATGCCGCCCGGCCCGAACCGTCTGAACGTGGTCACTAATGACCCGAGCAGGCAGCGGCAGCTCGGGCAGGATGTCACAGGGTGAGTAGTCCGTGACAGATCCAGGGAAACCACAAACTTCTGTGCAACAGCTTGAGGATAGGGCCGTTGGTCTTTTCGAGGGCTTCCGGAGCGATGCTGCCCACAAAAAAATCCTGAGCACCTCATCCTTTCAGTCTGTTTTTCTATTTAAATTATAGGTAGCCCCTTCACAAGTGCACTTTAGACACATAGAAGGACAGCATTTGGGAGCTGTGGGACAGAAACAAGAATGCAGCTGCACTCGTGGGAGTTTGAAAAAGCAGTTTCCAAATAGTGGAAATTCCCCCTTAGATTTGGGAGCAACCACCCTGAAATTCTGGGGAAGTGAGGCTGCAGTTCCTGGGAACACAACTGTATCAAGACAGAAATTTTCAGTCACATTTGGGGGTGATGGAAATACCCATACAGTAGTGAGAATTTCCTGGACCAAAGCACACAGAGGAAGAACCAGAACCACTCTCAGCTGACTTGTCTTTGACAAAATAGTAGTGAGATGTCCCTCCAGACAAGCGGAAGACTGTTCCCAGACCAGGAGCTTTGGGTGTCATGCCTAAGTCATTAACACCAAGATTATACCTGACCCTGCCAAGGTTTGTAAATCACGCTGAGGCTGACTTATCCCCCGTGGGAGGCAGCCAGAATTGCTGCATTTAGAAAGCCTGCTGGCTACGCAGTGCCCAGCAAATCCCGCGGCTCAGCAGCAGGGAAGGCCGTCTCCCTTCCCGGAGGAGACAAGCGACAGGGCAGGGAGGGCTGTGTCCCACAGGCCACGGTGCAAGGCAGTGGTAGGAAGGGCTGTGGCGTCCCTTGGCTTCCAGCCAGCAGCCCCTGCTGGGACTTCTGCCTGAAGTTTGCCCACAGTGCAAATAATTGCTGAGATCCATCACATGTAGTCTTAAGAGTTCAAAGGATACCCGTGGGGGAGATCTCCTCGGGAGGCGGGGCACGGTGTGCCAGCTACCAGTGGCAAAGGTTGAAGTTCCAATGGGGAAAAGTTTTGTTCAGCACATGAGATAATTTTCTCTGATAAGTTATGCTTAGGTCGGCTCAGAGAGAACATCCTGCTATTGAAGGGAGTTGTGTGGCAAGCAAATTTCCTGGGTGTCTGCATTTGTGGGGGTTTTTTTTTTTGTTTTGCTTTGTTGGTTTTTTTTTAAATTTTATTTATTTATTTATTTTTACTGTGGATCTATGTACAGCTATTGACTTTTACAGCTTTGCAAATTGATATGCAAGAAGTGCACAGGACAAGGTGAGCGAGTTGGGACACGACCCTGGCCGATGCATCAGCAGGAATCCAGTGATGTCAGTGGAGACACGGCTCCAGCTGGGAGCGGTGAGGCCAGGCTGCCCAGCAAGAGCAGGGCTGCCAGGGAAGCAGTGAAACTGTGAGCAGGAAAGTGGCACTGCCATGCTCCACAGATTTCCCCTGGTTATTTCAGAATGGGCTGACTGTGCACCCCACACTACAAGGGGTTTCTTATCTCTGCTAAGCTCTGCTCTTGGAAGGAGCCATGTTGTAGAACAAGTGAGTGCTAGGTTTGGGAAGGCTCCTGGGGAAAGCTGGTGCTTTGCCAAGGTGGCAGCAGGTACCTGGGGCTTTAGGGTAACTGGCTTCAGGTAATTCATAAGCTATCACCCAGCCCTGGGACAAAATGGCTGAAGCGTATTTTGTTCTGCTGATGTGGGAAAAGGCCACACCAGTCCCTGTTGGAGAGGCATTAATTAAAGGAACTAATGGCGAGTTCCTAAAATATCTATCGGAGTGATCAGGATGTCTGCTGAGAGAAATCTGACTTGCTGGGCTTCAAGTTGTGCCAAGCCATTGTGTTCATCAGGAAATGAGGGTGTTCTGGGGCAGGTAAAACAGAAATAAATCAAGCTGACCCTCCGCTGCTGCTTTCTGCTCCTATTTCCAAAGCCACGTTTCAGGAGGTGGCTTACATACATTTGTTACATCGTTACTTAATAGGATGTAACAGCCCTAAGGTTTTTTTGGGGGTTTTTTTTTGGTTTTTTTTTTTGTTGTTGTTTTTGGGGTTTTTTTTGCTTATGTTGTTAGTGCTTTTAGCACACTGTATGGGAGTCTCTCCTTACTAAAATTAGCTATGTTGTTATTGCTTTTAGCACACTGTATGGGAGTCTCTCCTTACTAAAATTAGCATCCTAAGCATCCCTTTCTGAAACCCCTCTGCCAAGTATTCCCTGCAAAGTCTGCATTAGAAGAATGTTAATCTGATTTACAGTAACCTGACATGACAACTTGTGGTAATAGGTGGTAAAAAGTTGAATCCTTGCAACAGAGAGCAAGGATATGAACGTGGGATATCCCAGGAGGCTGGCTCAGGAGAGCACTGAGCCCATGAGTACAGGGTGATGAATGAAGGGAAGAATTTGCAGCATCACTCTAAAGAGCCATTTACACCAGAGAGCATCATTATTTCCACACATTTCAGCGGTTCCTAGTGTGGGCTGGCCTCATATATCCAAACTTTTATGGGCCCTCTGTATTATTTGTGTGGCAGAGGTGGCGTTTTTTTTACTTTAAATGAACCCAATTATGCTTCATCAACCCAATAATAATGCTTCATCTGCCACTGCTTATTAGCACATTTCCAAGAGATCAGGTGGTGGGAGAGGGACTGGCGGCAACTGAACTTCATACTCTGAAGAAGGAGTCCAACATTTTCCTGAGATCCATGCTCTGACGGTGAGCACAGATGTGCAGATTTGCAATTAAGTTTAGGTTCACATCATAGTGGTAATGAATACTATAGTAATATACCATGCAGATGGTGGTTTCTTTGCAGAAAGACCTTCCTGAACAGTCTCTGCATTCCCACCATCACTGGCATGTCAGCTGGCAGCACTGGCTATTGGCATCCTCTGGCCCCAGGGACATCCTGCTGACCTTCCACCATGGCACCAATCCTCGCTGCTGTGCCATGGCAACATGTTCCTGAAAAGTATCTTGGTGTGACAGCTCACCTGCTTACAGCAAAATCCAAGAGCACTTGTTTAAATGCTCCGTTTCCAGTAAAGGAAACCCTACACCACAGAAGGAGCTTTGTCTCTGCCTGGTCATTTTAAATTGGGGTTTGTTAGAGGGACCAGGGCAGTGTTTGTTATAATTTGCCAGTCCCTGAGGATTGCTTTCAAACTGGAGACCATTATTACCTGAGATTAGAGCTATTCCCAGCTTTATTTTTATACCATCATCAGTGCACTTGATGTTTGAAGACAAAAAGACAGGAAGAGGCAGCATCCCTTCCCCAGCTAATATAGAGTTTGGTGACTGAAAGAGATTTATTGAAATCAATGTGCACTTTACCATCGATTTCTTTGTGCAGTGAGGCCTCCTTTAAAGCTTGTCAGCTTTTCCTTGTAAAGCTGAAATGAGACTAACCTGATGTATCAACAGTGAGTAGTTTGAAGTGATACTTCTCTTTCTCTCTTTCTCTCTCTCTTTTTCTCTCTCCAGGCTTCTGAGACACCACAAAATAACTTTTATTTAAACACGTATTTATCACATTTACTGACGGTGTCCAAACTGCCTAAAAAAATAAAAACTGCATGCAAAATTCAATTTAGCATTGGCAGGGGACTTGACCAGATGATCTAACTGGTCGTTTATTGCTAGCTATGACTATAATTGCATGTCCAAATCATGCTGTTTAAAATTTTAAATTCAACCCACACCATATTTTCATTCAGTGAAAGGAATTTACTTTAGCATCATTCTTTGCCCATGTCAGGAGAGCAATTTTTCACTGATGATAAGAAAATGTCATTTTTTGTTTTAAAATTGCAAATGAAAAAGCCATTTCTATGTCTCCTGGGCTTTTATTTATTGATTGTCTCATTATTTAGTGAATAATTTTAATTAATTTTATAATAATAACAGTCTGTAGTGAATATCCTTTGAATTATACAGAAAAGACTTTAAATAAACTATTTTGAATTATGATCTTGTTATAATGTCATCAAATGCTGCTTTTTCAGGCTCCGTAGCTTGACCTCTAAAAAGAATAGCATGAAATACATTATTTGTCATTTTAAGGGGACTGACAGGCTTCTGCAATGAGGTGACCTGCACAGTGGATGAAGGGAGAGCAGTGGACGTTGTTTACCCTGAAACATTTCCAGGCAAGAAAGGCATTTGACATTATTTCCTGTAAAACCCTCATAAATAAGCTGTCAATGTATACTTTAGGTAAAAGGACAGTGAGGTGGACTGAAAACTGTCTGAATGACCAGGTGCAGAGTGTTGTGGTCGTTGGCAGTAGGTCCAGTTGAGGACAAGTCCCTAGCACACAAGGGCTCAGTGTTGGGGGCCAGTGCCTTGTAGCCTCTTCATTAATGATTGGGATGATGGGGCAGAATACAACTCTGAAGATGAGATAAAACTGGGAGGAGTGGCAGATACACCAGAAGTTTGTGTGGCCATCCAGAGGGACCTTGACAGGCAGGAGAAATGGGCAGGAAAGAATCTCATGTACTTCAATAAAAAGTAATTGCAAAGTGTGACTAGAGAGTATCAACCCCAAGCACCAGTACAGGCTGGGGGTTGATCAGCTGGATCACTCTGGACGTTCTGATGGGCCTGGAGGTTCTGATGTATGAGCAGAGAAGGTCCTGGAGGTTCTGACATATGAGCAGCTGATCACCAGCCAGGAATGTGACCTTCATTGCAGCAACTGGCCCTTGCTGCAAAGATGGTCAGTGGCACCTTGGGCTGCATGAGGAGGCATGTAGCCAACAGGCCAAAGGTGGTGATCCTTCCCTCTGGTCAGTGCTGGTGAGGCCACAGCTGGAGTGCTGGGTCCAGCTCTGGGCTCCCCAGTACAGGAAAGAACAGACATACTGCAGAGGTCCAGCTACTGGCCCTAAAGATCATTAATGCATCTGAGTTTCTGAGGTGGGAGGAGAGGCTCAGGGAGCAGGGACTGCTCAGTCTGGTAAAGAGAAAGGGCATCTTACATATGTATGTCAAGACCTGAAGGGAAGAAACAAAGTTGAGACAGGCTCTCTTCAGTGATTCGCAGTGCCAGGACAAGAGGCAGCTGGCACAAATTAAATCACAAAGAATTCCATCTGAACACAAAACCCCACATTTTTTACAGCGATGGCAGTCAAACACTGGCACGGGTTGCCTAGAGAGGTTGTGGAGTTTCCCTCCTAGAAAATATTTAAAAGCCATCTGGACAGGGCCTTGGGCAATCTGCTGTAGGTGTCCCTGCTTGAGCAAGGGGGTTGGACAAGGTGACCTCCAGAGGTCCTTTCCAACCTCAGCCACTCGGTGATTCTGTGAGTAATTCAGATACCGCACAGAGCACATTCTTCCTGCTTCTCAATGAGAAAACAACAAATGGCTCCACTGCAATTCCATTTTCTGACTTTGATGAACGGAAATATGTTACGCATCATTAACAGCATGCCAGCATATTAAAACCATATTATGCTTGTAAAATAAAGAGCATTTTTTTCATCTATTGCCATCAAATTTATTTCTGAGTTAATCTGAAAAATTAAATAAGTCCACATGGATCTCCCAGTTAGCGCTGCCAAGTATGTATATTCTTTAGTTTGAAATGAAAATACTTCTGTTCAAAGTTTGGGATAGAACACATACGCTCCCATGTTTCAAATTAAAACAAATTAGATGGCTTTCAATTGGAAAGCTACGTCAAAGCGAAGGAGATGGCAGTATTGCAGATTGGCCATTCTGCCTTATAATGGCTCATCAGTCCAGGCCAAAAGTGCAGTAAAACCAGAGAAACATCTGTCCTTGGTCTGGTTGACGTGAATATGCAGGAGGCATATTGTGTTTTCGGACAGAACTGGTGGCTGCCTGCAAGTGTGAAGTCTGGACAATCCCAGACCACACTGAAGTGGAAGGGCATGCTGATCGTCTTTCTTTTAGATGAAATGAAAGAGGAATTAAAGCCTCATTTATTTAGTGGTAATTGAAACAAGACAAGCCACCGCCCAAGGTGCAACACAATATAGGAAGGCTGGATTGGAAGCTCAGCCATATGGCTAGAGGGATTTCACTGGAAATTGGTTGCAAAACCAGGAAATGGGGCATTGATTTAGTTGAAGCTTTGCATTAGCTTGGGGGTGGAAAGAAGCACAAACCAAGCAGGCAACCAGACAGACAGAGTATGTGTGTGGCCCCAGAAAGGTAGCCAAGACCAAATGACTTTTACTTCTTTCCAGCACTGAAAAGCCCAAAAAAAGATCTCACAAACAGGAAGACAGCTTCTAACTCTCTTGTCCTTCTGTGTTTCAGTGGAAAAAACATTTCTATTTTAACAAAGAGATTTTTCCCAACTTGTAAAAACAATGTCGACTTGAAGCAGTCCTAGAACTCTGTGAACTTTGGCTTCCTGCAAGGAGCAGCCTTATCTAACTGCAACACTATATAACCTACAGCACTTAAATCAGTCTTCCATAAAGCAGGCTAGAGTCCCATCCCGCTGTCAATTAGAACTCCTCTCACAAAATAGACTGAAAAGGATGTGTATTGCAGCCTTGGAGCAATACAGCTTCTCCCACAAAGTTATGAAACCTTTCTTCCTTTAGGGATAAACAGTAAAGCAACATCTAATTTGTATGAATAACCCTTTCAGCTGCTTAAATACTTCTAGTCTGACGAATTTTTAAAACCGTTCTGATTTCTCTGAATGTATCTGCCATGCCTATTATTTTAGTGCAAACAGTGGAACATGCCATGCTACTATATTTCATATGTCCTACTGTGTTTTTTTAAGATTTGTGATTTCATATCTTTTTCAAAATGGTAAAATATTCGCCAACTGTCCTGTAGATGGTTCTCCAGGTAAGGTTTTATGTCTGATGGTCTGTGGCATGGAAAAATATTCACTTGCTGACAAAGCTGTTCAGTCTACTTATGGTTCTTGTTGAACTGAGAATTTGCAGAAATGCGTAATGGTGCATGGACTATGGGTTTTTCCATGCCAACTCCATCTCTAAATGTGATGCCATTTGTGTACAGAGCTATCCAGATGTGTGTCACAGCTTGATTTCCTGAGGCTGTCTAGGGAAATGCTTCAAGAGAAGCACTGCTCTCTACCCCAGTGACATGAAAAATCCCTTCAGGATGCTATACAGTAGCAGAGCAGCAAAGCTTCATTACATTTGCTTTTAATGTGTCCCTTTTCAGCTTGTTGAAAATCCATCTTTTCTTCTGAACATGTTCATGAAGCTCACATAAAATGCTTTTTGTCATGTCTGACTAAACCTTTTTTAATTTGATGGTGGAAATTATGCTTCTGTACTCTTAGATGGCTGTTTGTAATTTGGGCTTTTTCACTGATACAACAAAAATAGCTCCAATCTGAAGGTGAAAATTTGAGCCTGCATTTCTGTGCCAACATTCACAGAAGAAGTCTAGCAACACAGGGGGATACAAACATATGCCTTAATCCTCTGAACGAACAGGTGCCTCATAGTTAAAGACAGATGAATACTTATTTGGAATATTATTTGGCATTACCACTCCACTGCAATGCTAAGGACTCATACCCAAAGCACAGCACAGCAGCTCCTCATTTTTGTCTTCTCATGCATCTGGTTTGTGCCAAGGGCTGAGCTGGGAAGGGTACGTAGCTCTCTGAAGTGGGAGATAAGCTTTTACATGTAGGGAGAGGGGAGGAGAAGTAGGATTCAGATCCTCAGGAGTTTGGGATGAGCCTACAGATTGAAATCTTACAAACATTTGCAAGTTTCAGACCCTTAGTTTTTTTGTTGGTTGGTTGTTTATTTTTTCCTCTCTCTGGCTTTTCTTTCTGTTTTGTTTTTCTTGACAATGTGCAGTAGTAGGGGCTTATAACTGCCCTTTGCTGTAGCTGGGGATCAGAGGTAGTTCCAAGGCAGGTGCTGTGGTTTGTGGGGCTTGCCCTGCTCTGCTGAGCCTGTGCTCTCCCTCTCCCAGTTCCTGGCCACATCTCCCACTGTGTGGCCCTCAGAGGACAGCCTCCAGCCAGATGGGCACTGCACCTGCTGGCATAGCTGGGCTGGGATGGTTGTGGAGAGCCA